CTATACATATACATATGTATTTACTGTAAATATGTATTTACTGTACATATGTATATGTATATGTATTTACTGTACATATGTATATGTATTTATGTATGTACTGTACATATGTATTTATGTATTTACTATACATATACATATGTATTTACTGTAAATATGTATTTACTGTACATATGTATATGTATATGTATTTACTGTACATATGTATATGTATTTATGTATGTACTGTACATATGTATTTATGTATTTACTGTACATATGTATATGTATTTATGTATTTACTATACATATACATATGTATTTACTGTACATATGTATTTATGTATTTACTGTACATATGTATATGTATTTATGTATTTACTATACATATACATATGTATTTACTGTACATATGTATTTATGTATTTACTGTACATATGTATTTATGTATTTACTATACATATACATATGTATTTACTGTAAATATGTATTTACTGTACATATGTATATGTATATATGTATTTACTGTACATATGTATATGTATTTATGTATGTACTGTACATATGTATTTATGTATTTACTATACATATACATATGTATTTACTGTAAATATGTATTTACTGTACATATGTATATGTATATGTATTTACTGTACATATGTATATGTATTTTCTGTACATATGTATTTACTGTACATATATTTGTATTTACTGTAAATATATACGTATTTACTGTACATATGTATGGCACATTTCAACAACAAGGTAATTCAAAGTGCTTTACATAAAACATAAAAGCAACAGGGAAATATAAAAACGCATGTATTTATTGTACATATGTTTACTATAGTATGGAAAGGATTAAGCTATGGTCAAATAAAACTACACTTTTATATATTTATTGTTTATATTTTTTGATAAACATTTTTTATATTGCAGACTTTTTAAATTGGGTATTTTTTTATAATATTAATTTGTTTGATTATGTTCATGTTACGGATTCTAAATAAAACTATTATGTAGGCCTACACACATACAAGTTAAAAAGTATTTGTGTGTTCAATCAACACACACACACACACACATATATCTACATGTATATATTTTATTTCTTATACTTTTAACATGTTTGTCATAAGTCCAGTGCAATACTGAGTCACTGGAGTACTATTTGAGGTTTGTTTTTTTTAAAGTTATTGAATTTAAAAAATGTGAAATGTTGTCTTGAAAATAACTCACAAGCATCCAAGCGCTCTCTCTGTCTCTCTCTCTGTGAAGCTCTCTCTGTCTCTCTCTGCATTTCTAATGAGTGTCTATTGTTGTGTAAAATTAGCAAATGAATAAACCCAGTTCCCAGGCATTCTTTCACACGCTGTGTGTGTGTTGTACAAAGACATTTTGTTGGGAACATGCATGAAACAGAGCATTAGCTGCCACTGAGCAAGGCGCTGACCTTACTTTTAAACATTATATTTAATGCCGTCGTACGAGAGTGGCAAATTCATATCTGTTCCCCAGAGTTGAGTTAAATAAAACAATGAGAGATCAAACGTCCTGCGAACAGACAGTCGCATGATGATCGATCCCCACAGCAGCCTGCAGAGCCAAGTCCCATATCAGGCTCTGTCGTCTGCGAAGTCCTGCTTTCAAGACTGAAACTCACCTGCATATGCTATCCAGCAGCCAGCAGGGGGCGACTCCACTGGCTGCAGAAAGAAGTGTGGTTGTATAGAAGTCTATGAGAAAATGTTTCTACTTGTCATCTGATTTATTACCTCAGTAAACACTTTCCTGATGAGTTTATGGTCTCAGTTATTAGTTTCAAGTCTCAGACCTCTGACCTTTCTATGGTGATACAGGGGGGAGAGAGAGAGAGAGAGAGCAGCTTCTTCTGTGTTTACTGTCCTCTCTCTCTCTCTCTCTCTCTCTCCAGTCTCTCGCCCCTTGCTGTCTGGTTGCTATGGGAGACAGCCAGAAATAAACTCATTAGAGGTGAGTGTGTGCGCGATCATCTGTAATTTGTTTTTCTGCTGTTTTTAGTGTCACAGTCTGCTGAGTGGACACAGTACCATATAGCAGTAACACAGTACTACACAGTACTACACAGAAGTACTACACATAGCAGTATAGCTAGTACTATAACAGCTGTTGCAGAACTGTGTAGTACTGTTGCAGTTTGTGTAGTTTTAAGGAAAAGATTTGTCGTGATCAGCTCCTCAGAGGATGAACCCTTTAGATTTCATGATTGCTCCTGTAGCGCCACCCTCAGGAAACACTTTAGATTTTTAGCTTCACTGCTGGTGAGAAATATTTTAAAGCTGCAAGGTACATTGGACGGGCCCTCGCGGCGTGATGCATGTGGTGCAGTTGGTGCTGGAGGTCGTCAACCCGCTTCTGAATTACCATGCCTTTTGGACCCCTCGCAAAGGAGTTAAACGTCACTTCTTGTTTCCCCTAGGTGGCGCTAGAGAACACCCACTAATTACATGTTGTGTACCAGAACATGGAGCATACTGTAAAAATTTCACACAGAGCTTACTTCCTGTTGCCATTAGGTGGTGCTATGTCTATGAGTAAATATTGGTAAAAGGATGTCTTGAGGGTGGGACACTTATCAAACAGATGGAACAGATTTCACAGCAAAAAATAGATTTTTGACGCCACGCCACGGACACACCCTTTGACAAAAACTCCCGGATAGCAGAATTTTTCATTGTCAATGCCTTTAGATAGCACGGCTAAAATTTTATGTTGATCTGATTAATTCTCTGGGAGGAGTCTGTGAAATTATGGAACGTGTAAATTGGCAAAAATGATAATTAAATTCAAAATGGCCGACTTTCTGTGGGGTTTAGGGCATCGCTGAGCCCTAAAAGAAGAGCCACAAAGATTTCTTGCATCTAGGTGAAACGTGGCGCAAGGGCTGCTTCGTTTAAGGGTCAATTCCTGTTGCCAGCAGGTGAGACTACAACTTTGAGTAAATATTGATATGTGGTTGTCTTTGGTGCGAGAATGTTCTCAAACGTGTGAAGTGTGGTACAGATGTGAGCATGTTCACTGAGTTCATAACAACTTCCTGTTTCACGGCGAATCATGGATTTTTGATGCCACGCCACAGATACGCCATTTGATGAAAACTCACAGATAGCGCAACTTTTCATCTTCATTGCCTTTAGACTGCACAACGAAAATTTGAAGTCAATTGGATTAATTATCTAAGAGGAGTTTGTTAAAGTATGGAGCCTGTAAATTGCAATAAAATGACTAATAAATCCAAAATGGCTGACTTCCTGTTGGGTTTAGGGCATTTCTCCCAGAGGCTTTTTTGTAGGTCTGGACATGATATATGTGCCACAGAAATTTTGTACATGTATGTGAAACGTGTCCCGGGGGCTTTAGGGGGCGCTAGCGACCCATTTTGCTACACCCATGCATGAAAACCCTATGACGTGCAAATTTGCTTTTTTGTAAGTTTTCGAGCATGTTAAGACTGACAAAAATGCTCTTTATTGGCAGAAGAAAGAAAGAAAGAAAGAAAGAAAGAAAAAGAAATCCTTCAGTTTCAAAAAGATCCTCGCTTGTTTCATGTTTCAATAATACGAATCCTGCAGTCTGAAGGAGATTCAGATATTTAGTTTCAGCCTGACTGCAGTTGTGTTTGTTCCTCTTCCTGCCGGCGATCCGTCTCCAGTATACAATTAACAAGAATATAATCCTCGTCTGTTTTCTACATCTGCATAATTCAGTAATTGGTTGGTTCATCCTGCGTGTGTGTGTGTGTTTACAGCCCGGCAGGGTTTGTAGAATAATATCGTGGTTCACATTCAGCTGCGGGAGAAACACTCAGCCTCATTAGATCCAGATAACTCTGCAAAAGAAAGGAAAGTTTTATCGTCATGTGACGCTCTGCAGGGAGACGGCCAGTCCAGAGGTCGGAGGTGCTGCAGATTTTAACCTGTTACTGTGAGTTTCAACAGTCTGGTCACTTACTGTCACCACACATGGACATAAAGGAGAGTCAGCAGCTGACAGTTGCATGAGACTTTGTAGATTCACAACGATACACTAAGACAGAAATATGTAGACACATCTTTTCATCAGATTTATAAAGCAGATTCACTTTTAAAAAAGTAAAGTAGCAGTGGTACAGAAAATTAATGATGGTACTGATACTTGTACTCTTGTATTTTCCAAACACCCGTCTCCTGAGTGAAAGTCCGGTTTCTGACTCATCCATCCTTGCACTCCAACCACCTCCTTACTCTGACTTTTCTGTTACTTAAAGTACTTTTAGCGTTGAACAGTGATGCTAAAGGGCGTCCCCCAGTGCGTTGACCTACCATGTGAATGGCGCCATGCGTGTTGGTAACAGACACCGAAAGACGTGACACAGCGAAGCGATTTCATGTTCTGGGAAGGAGAAAGGGCTGGATATTCAGTTCCACAAATAAATTACAAAAGAACAATTAATTTCATACAGTTCATTAAATAAAGTAAATAAAACAGTAAATGTGTGTTTGTGTGTGTGTGTGTGTTAAAAAATTAAATATTAAAAATGTAAATAAATAAATAAAACACTAAATGTGTGTGTTAAAAAATTAAAATTAAACATTAAAAATGTAAATAAATAAATAAAACACTAAATGTGTGTGTTAAAAAATAAAAATTAAATATTAAAAATGTAAATAAATAAATAAAACAGTAAACGTGTGTTTGTGTGAGTCTGTGTTAAAAAATAAAAATTAAATATTAAAAATGTAAATAAATAAATAAAACAGTAAATGTGAATTACTGTTCGAGGATCATCCCAATATGTGATCAGTGATTAATTAAAAGAGCTCATGTTGAAACAGACTTCACAAAGTGCTTCACAGCTGACAATAAAAGAAAAAGATCATTTAAGGGGAAATAACTGCACAAAGAAAAAGAAAAAGAACGCTAATTAATTCATTTAACTTAAAGCGGCTCTAATCAATGTTCTATAATAGCAGAGAGGCTGAATCTGAGCGGGAGCTTTGTACAGATCCTGCAGCACGTCTGCACACGCTCAGTGAAGCGGTGGCGGCCTCCTGCCGTGAGGCGTCTGCTGGGTTTTAATGGGACTCTTTCATGTCGGCTGGTTTCTAAATTGGTTCTGTGTTGCTGTTTTGGAGCAGAAGCTGGAGACTTTGTTCTGTAAAAGAAAAAGACACTCGTCTGATTACAAACTGTAGTTCAGCGGCGAACTCGGCAAAACCTTTCTGAATCTATCATTATTCACAAATACTGTCTCGATCAGCTGATTCATGATTTGGTCAGAATAGTGAAGATGTCTGCAAAACAAAACATTTGAAGACTTTACCTGAAAACCAAATGTTTGGCTTTATTATGGCTTTAATGATTATTAATTATCACTGTAGTTTTTACAGGACTGGAGGAACTTAAATGGGAACTTGGTTCTTTGGAATGAACCTTACGAGTACAAGCCTCTTCAACATGTTCCACCAAAATGTTTTATAGTAATAATAATAAACTTTATTTCTAAAGTGCTTCACAAAAGCCTGAGAGAGAGATGACATCACATCCCACAGCAAGTGATAAAATACATGAGAGCTAAATAAAATAAATAAAAATAGAAATTACATTAACTACGCAGGGTATAAGAGAAGATGAAACAAGAATAAAATCAGTAAAATAAACAGGCAGCTCGGATAAAATCAGGAAATGCTTTCTGGTAAAAGTGCGTTTTTAAAAGAGACTTAAAAGAAGACAAAAACTCTGAGAGCCTAATTTCCTCAGCCTGGACCTGGGAGCTCAAACTACGTAAAGGTTCATAAGGAGTTAAAGGATCTAAAATCTGGTGCCAGGCCATGGAGAGCCATAAAAGTAATCAATTTTAAAGCAGACATGGAGCCAGTGTAAAGAGATTAATACAGGTGTGACCTGACCGGACCTCTGGTTAAAAAGAGCACTGCTTACACACACATCACAAATACTCTCACATTTCACAAACGCTGGTTGCTCATATATCACAGAACCATTCGCGAGTTCTCCTGCATGTTCAGGGGCTCTTTGACTCCCAGTCAAGTTTCTTTTTGTCCCAATCCTGATCCATTTAATATTGAGCATCTGTCAGAGCCGAGTCTGATCCGAAACTTATTAATCTAAATGATCCAGCTGCCCAGCTCACACCTGTGTTTGTGTAACCCGGTATTGCTCACCGTGCAGCCACAGTCACAGTCTCTTTGTACTCCCCTGTTACTTTCAGTAACAGTTCCACATCATTGTCCGTCCATGCAAAGAAATCTCTGCTGTGGTTCTTCTCCATCGCTGTTCCTCGTTCGTCTCTAGTAGAACTTCTGCACCTGTATCATCAAAAGGCGTTTAAATAACACGCCAAGTCATTTGGTGTGGTATTCCAAAGCATTTTAGACTGCCTTGACTTCTATTGTGCAGAAACGGTGTGCTATTCATACGCCTACTGTCAAAGGTAAAATCAGCGTGTGTGGGATATAAATAAGTCCAAAAATTCACAAAACATTCATTTTTGTTATTTATTTATGTGACTATCTATCATACGGCCTTTTCCAGTCCTATATTGTAGTCCTGTGACTCCTCTATGGCAGCTTTGCATGATTCAAAGTAAAATAAATATATATTTTTTTATATTCATGTAGGCCTTCATTTCAGCCTCTGTCTGAACAAGCTGTAGATGCTCCTGTCTCTTTAAGGCCCCCCCTCTCAAAGCCCACTGTCTTCTGATTGGCCAAGACCTGAAGCATGTTAGCAGGCTGTTGTTGTTGCTGGGCGGACTGAGCGTTGCCGTGTCGTTACTGTGGGAGCAAATGACCATATATGGAACAACGTCTGTATAACGGAGCCGTTGGTAGAAAAAGCAGTTGAAAACAGAGCGTTCAGAACAGGAGGAAATCTGAGGTTTATGCTCACAGGGATTTCTTAGAAATGCTTTAACCTCATTTTTTGAAGCTTTGGCCACGTTTAACATGAACATCCAACATTATAACACTGTAGATAAAACATCAAATGTGGAACAGCATAATATGTCTCCTTTAAGTTACGTAGTTTACCATGCTACATCGTTGCTAATGTTAGCTACATAGCATTAGCTATGTTACGTTAGCTACGTTAAAGTTTAAGAAACTAGCTAGCTAACGAATCTAGCAACGACGCTAGTATTTTACTTTACTGCTAACCTTAACCATAAATAATTATATATGCATGTCTACCGGTTAGCTGCGCAGATAGGGTTAACCTCCTTTGTGTTGCTTAGGTCTATGGGGACTATGCTATTTATACGCCATTTGATATCAAGTTGGCAGAGTAGACAATCTGCTTCCTGTTCACCCTGCACGCTCATGCCCAATGTACGTTAACGGTAACTTCGTTTTTAGTCGTTTTAATATAGACAGAGATCAATTCTGCTCGCAGCTAAAACGCTGGAGTGGATTGAGAGTTTTAAAACAAAAACAGAGTAGTGTGGATGTACCTTAAATGCTGGCCTTCCCGCCTCACCTCAGTGTTTCTGGTTGCTAAAGGTTGCAAGTAAACTACCTTTCATTGTTTCCTTTTTCCCCTTTGGCAAGTTTTGTCCCAACTCCCTTAAAAAGATAGTGAACTCCCCTGAAAGCCACGGTATAGTTCGCACACTGCATGTATCATTTTATCTGGACTTTACATTAAAGTCCAGCTGCTGCAGATAAAAGTTCAAACCTGTTTGACATCAGTGAAACCTGAGTTGTGTCTTCAGGAAGCAAATGGACGGAAATGTGTGTGTGTGTGTGTGTGTGTTTAAAGTGAATTGTTCCTGTTACAGAAACAAAACAGAAGATAAAACCCATCAAAATAAAAGAACAAGAAATATAAACCTTACACTGCCTGTTTCTGTTGTTCTGATTTCTTCTTCTGTCCCTTTGCTGGCGTTTCACTTTGACCAACAGTGTTTCGCCATTACAGTTGAACACACTGATCTGAATCTGAGAGCTCAGTGCTATAAATGCCACTTCCCCTTTAAGAGATCCAGGAAGTGCATGGGGTGTGTGTGGGTGGGGGCGTGGCTTTCTGGTTCAGGGGTGGTGCTTTTTGAGGAAACAGGTGTGTGTGCTGACAGGGATGATGTCATTCTCTGGCTGAGTCACCTGGGAGACGGCTGCTGAGCGTAGTGTGGACAGAGAAAGAGAGATAAAGGAGGAGGAGGAGGAAACGAGCTGCCATCATCACTCCTGTTTTTCTTCCCCGAGGAGGCGTCGGTGTGAGGAAGGAGACCCAGCCGGAGGGCAGGAGGAGGAAGAGGAGGAGGAGGAGATCATTTGAATGCTGCTGTTGGTCAAGGTGAGAGAGAGAGAGAGGGAATGAATGAGAGAGAGAGGGAGAGTGTAGTTGCAGAGTAGTTCTTCTCACCAAACTCCATTCAAAAATCTGTGTATTTAAGCTCATCTCTTAACTGTAGAACTTGATTTAAGATCTCAACTCTTTAAAAGACCACGTTGGTGTGTTTGCATGCTTCAGCTCAATAACTGGCAACTGCAAGTGCAATTTTCATCCTTGCTGTTCATCCTTTCCCAAATGATCTAATCTGTTTTTACACTACATGGCCGTAAGTATGTGGACACCACCATCATGTCTGTATGTTTGGAACAGCGCCGGGGTCACGACGGGAGCGTGAACATATTGTCTAAAATGTTGAATTTAAGTTAAGTGAACTCACTGCTTTCACACTGACAACTATATCAAGAGTTTCATCGCCAAACTGGCATTGAATAGGAAGATAGTTTGTTTAAATTGACGGTGATATCTGTGGAAATTTGAGGAGGAGGAACAGACAGTTAAACGGCAGACGGTCTGCAGAAGTTTGGTTTTTGTGGTCAGTTTAGCCTCCTGGTCCCTCCTGTTTTTGGTCCTGGTTCTGGATTCTCTGTTGCTGAAGGTGAAAACTCTGCTTGTTGTGTTTTTGTTGGGAAACTGCTTTTATACTAGTTTATTTAAAGTAGTTAAATGTTTCCTTTTCCTGCTCAGCAGTGCCACCATCACTGAAAGAGGTCTCTCCCTCCGTTTCTCTGTAAGCCACGATCATTCATCGCTCATAAACGTTCTCCATCTTTTCTCTTATTGCTCTGACCTCTGACCCTGAACAACCGGGCTTGAAGCAGAGATGAAACTGTTAGCTTAGCTCAACCAAATGAGCCCAAGTCAGTCTGATTTACATGCTGGATCTTGTTAGCTAACCAGCTAGTCAGCAGTCCATCCTGTAGCCAGATGGGGTTTAGTTTAGTTAGAACAGAGTTAAAATCTACAATCCAACAATGAGGCGACCGTATTCACAAAACATCCTCAGGCTAAACGTAGCTCCTAACTTTTACCAAACACAGATTTAATCCTGGCTTTCCTCGCGGCGGTTTTATCGCTGGACTAATGTTCAAACACAACTCGCCAAAAAACATTTATTTGTTAATCGGCTCACCAATAAATCAACAAAACACCCGAGATGACAGTTTGCTCCATGGTACTTGGACACCAGCGCTGATGAATGCTTTATCTGTGGAACTGCAAACAACTCGGAGACGTCTGAACTCCTAAATAATGCTTTTTATCTATAAACATATTTTGTAATGTAAAATCTTGCGCCCTGTCTGCACGAACACGGCCATTTTTAAATCTGTGACCTTTTCCACGCGGTTTGGCCGTTCGTCCACACGGAAACACAGTATCAGGTCACTGAAATCAAACATTTTTGAAAACCCCTGCCAGGGTGAAGATTTTAAGAAACTCCAGTTGCAGAGTTGTCGTGTTGACAGTAAAACCAGAGTTTTTGCTTTGCGACGTCAGAGTGCGCGACATTATCTGCTGTGTCTGATGTCAGATTGTGCGCCACTGCCTGCTTTGTTTACAATATTATTAGGCTCTGATTGGCCGACGTGGCTTCACGGTTAGCGTCATATCGCTGCCTGATGGTTTGGTGTGCTCTTGGCAGCGCTTGATAGCGTGTTTTTGCGTTTTCATGTAGACAGAGGAGGAAAAACTCTTTATAAAATGCACTAGGGGTGGGAATCACCAGAGGCCCTACGATACGATATTATCATGATACACAATATTATTGTGATTTTAAACGTATTGAAACTTAATACGCCTTTTTCCAACTTCAAATTGTGTCCCCAAAGGAAAACTCTTTTTCTAGTGGACTGAAAAGGCAACTGATTTCATTATTATAGAACAAAAAACGAAACTTTTCATGTACAATTTGTACAATAAAAGATCGATACTTGACGTTCGTGTATCGATACAATATTGCCACGGAAGATATCGCGATACTATGCTGTATCTATTTTTTCCCCCACCACGTGTGGACTAGGCCTTAATCTGAAAAGTATAGCTGTCAAAATAATGTAATGTAGTAGTACATGAGTAATGTTACTTTCCACCACTGCATTCCCTGTAGCCCAGCCATCATATCACGACCCTGAGCTCTTTATTAATCTCCTTACCAACATCTTATTATTATAGAAGAGTTAGAAATGATAATATACCAGGAGAATGATCTTTTTGACCCCTGCTCTTTAGCTGCAAATATTGTTCAAAAAGGATTAAATTACCAGATTTAATTCTTCTTTCAGTACTCAAATGACTTCAATAAATTCCCTCTGTGTAACTTGCTGATAAGGTGTTTGTCAACATTTGTCTCTAGCAGATTTTAGAGTTCCATGCATATATACAAGAATAAACATGCTGATTGGTGGAGCTTTAGAGATAATTTTAATAGCTAAAACAAAGTGTTAAAGATGTCAGTACGTTTAAAGTGGCGTTAAAGGTGTCAAGTGTGTGACAGACAAACAGCGGAGAGCAAACAGGTGACTACCAGTCTGTCAACACACACAGTGTACTAAATGAGTCACATCTGCCCCGGGCTGTGTGTGTGGTACCATCATATGACTGGGAGAGTAAACAGGGCAGAGGCAGCACGGGGGAACGGTGAGGGTGACGTCATGCAGGAAGTGGACATAGTGAAATGAAAGCACACACACACTGGTAACTGTACGCAGCCTGTCACACGATAGTTTGTTTAGTGTTCAGCTGGTTCAACCACAAGTGTCTTTCAAGCCTTTTTGATGTGACTGTCACTGTGTGCGTCCACATTGTGAGCCGTGTGGTTGGTCAGTCGTTCCGCCACCAGTTTAGACAGAAATATCTCAACAATGTAGGGTCCTAAATTATTTAACAATACTATACAAGCCTCAAAGAGGCACCAAAACGTATAGACAGTCCCTGCAGGATTGAGCTGAAGAAGTCTCTCGGACGAGAGACGAAACGTCTTCTAGTTTCCCAAAAGCGTCGTTGCTAACTACGCTAGCAACTTCCTCGGTTGGTTCAGTCCGTGTCCAACTGAATGCTTTCCCAAGCACAGCCACTTATCGCACTGAGCTGTTCTCAAGACTTAAAAATTTATGTTGGCTTCGCAGTTCATAATAGTGTTGAAATGAAGACACTAGTCGTAACGTATTTCACTTAAAAATTTTGGAATCGCTAATAGTTTTTTCTTCTAAAATGTTGCTTTTGCTTTAAATATATTTAAGCTAAATAAAATTATTACGTTATATAATATTTATATTGTTGATTTTATTAATTCTGTTGATTTTCTTGTTATTGCCGGTACAACTACAATATGAAAAGCCTACATATAAAGTTAGCATCGGCATAATATCGGTCACAACTGTCATATTTAGGCAGAATATGGTAAGGTAATAAGGTTTTGTGAGTTTCCCACTGTGAAAGTCAGACGAACACATTTGGAAACATGTTAGTTCAAAACACGTTGGTACAAACTAAGTTAATTCAAACCACGGTGGCATTTAATTTCATTTATTTGACGCTTTTATCCAAAGGGACTTACAATTGCTATACAAGTTTTGGGAAACGGTCGTACTTCAGATGTTCGTTAGTTTAACGATGCATCGTACCAAGATTGTTCAATGCTACCTTCTGTCGCTGTACGGGAAACGGACCTTCACAGACACCCTCCGGGAATCGCAGCTATTAATACAAATTCAACAAACCCCAACTTGCAGTTTTGATGTGACCAAACGTGAACTATCATCGCCGTGTTGAAGATTTAAAACTAGAGACTGAAACCATAGACTCGATAGGAAAGTGTTTACCGAGGTAATAAATCTTCTATACAATCACACTTCTTTCTGCTTGGCCCCGCCCCATGTAACGAACCCTTTGTTCTAATGTGAACCTGAGGTGTTTGCTGAACTACCTGGGGTTAGTTGTTCTGTTAAAGTACACACCAAGCAGGAACCTCCAGGTCTGAAAAAGAGCCTCACACCTGCGTTCTCTCCAGCAGCCAGCAGGGGGCGACTCCACCGGCTGCAGAAAGAAGTGTGATTGTATAGAAGTCTATGAGAAAATGTTTCTACTTGTCAGTTGATTTATTCCCTCAGTAAACACTTTCCTGATGAGTTTATGGTCTCAGTCGCTAGTTTCAAGTCTTCTTCAACACAGCATGATGTTCATTTAGTAAATTATGGTCCCATTTTAGAGGAACAGAGACCAGGAAGCAGGGGAGGCTTTAGGGCGGGGCTACAAGCAGGACAGAGGATAGAGGCACTGTGTACATTTAACCAGTGCTGCTGAAAATGCTGCTTTGTAGTTGGCCGTTAATTTTCTCCGTTAAGTACGTTTTATTTTAAGCCAGTCTGTCGCTAGCCAAAATTAGCATCCAAGTATCAAGATGGCGGTGGCCAAAATGCCAGACTCTAGGCTTAAAAACGTTAGTCCACAAACCAGCGGGTGACGTCACGGTGGCTATGTTCACTTCTTTATTAATACCGGCTATGTGAGGGGCGCTGGCCGAGTCAGCAACAGTGGCACTACTACTTTTACTTATAGGATCAGAGTACTTGAACCACCTCTGACTGCAAAGCTAGTTTCTGTGTGATGACTTCCTGAACAGCATCAAAAGTACTGGTGGTAATATCATCATCATCGTCAGGGTCGCTTATGGTTTGAAACAGTCAGTGAAGATCCTGCAGGAGTAGACTGGTTCAAACAGGACGCCCCCCCCCCCCCCTAGTTAACACACCATCAGTAATGAGCAGGAAGCTGCAGCAGGTCAGCACAGTCCCCCTCGTGTCTGTTCTGGGCTGCAGACTCTTTGTATTCAAATCACAGCAGCTTTTTGTCTGCAAGATGAATGAGGGACGAGTCTTCGCTCGCACTTCACTGAGCTCTTTGTCCGTCATCACAGACACTAAATCACAGCCGGCGGGGCCGAGAGGGACAGTAACCATCAAACACGCCAGCGTGAGAAGATGGAAGTCACTCATTGTTGTGTCCGTTATACAACCTCAGCTTCACGCTGTCACGTTTTAGTAAACTACACTGAGACTGTCATCAGCTGAACCAACATAACATTATTAGTGAAGGTAAAGAGTGCATGTGCAGGATAACAAGGAACACTTGTTTGGTTGGGAATTCATGCTCATGTATATTGTAAAACTCACAAAACAGACTGAAATATAATGTTTGATGTAGTTGTTTGCGTAGTAGGATGGACTATCAGGGGGAAAAACTGAAGAGAACTGAGAGTGGTAATTTACCAAGATAAATTACATTTCAAGAATAAAGTCATAATATGATGAAAATAAAGAATCAAACAGAAATCAAAGATAATTAAGATTTACTTACCGTAGTAAAGCAAATGTAATCTAATTGACCCATTTTAATCACAGCATATGACATTTCTCCAGTACAACTCCCTTTTTCTCTTGAAATTACAACTTTTGGAAAACTCAAACTCATGAAACTGTATATTTGCATTGTAACAAGAAAAAGTCTCATTCTTTCATTTCATATGGAAATGACCAAAACCTCAAATATTATGAAAGAAAATTGCTTCTATTGTATCTAAGATCATTAAAGAGAACAGCCCACTAGATCTGAGTTGGATTTATGAGTGCAAGAGTTATAGCTGTTGATTGGAAGACAATTAATCATATAAACGAGACAAATTATGGCTGCAAACATTTAAAACATTATTATTAAGTTTAGAACATGTCTAATTCCATATATACACCCACTCATGTAACTTGGCCTCAGATTAATATGCAGATTTATAGTATTATCCTGTCCTGACTAAATAAATGTAAATGTTAACACTATTATTGGGTTCTCTCTGGGAGTAGGCTGTTACTTAAACCAATCCACTATATTTTAATACGTATATATACACGTTTATAAGTTAGGGTTAAGATATAAGTGCAATTTATGTACAGACAGAAAAAGTACCCATATGTTGTGTTATGTTCAATCATGAGCCATTATTAATGCAATCCAGGAATAGTTTCCTCTTGACTTAATTCATGCAGCATTTGTTCTCTCTGTGCATTAATGTAATAAAATAAACTTTTTCTTCTAACATTATAGCTTTAAAAAAATCTAAATATTAAAGTTTAATTCTGGAAATATTTAAATATTTATAAATGCCTTTATTCTGTAGTAAAATGTGACGAGTTTAATCATTATTGTGTTAGAAATGTTGTTTCAACATTGAAAGCAGTAAAACTGCCTGGATGAGGATAAAATCAATTATTTAGCATTCTCATGTGGTGCAAAGAAGAAAGAATGAAAAATCTTTGTGTTGTGTTATTTCTCACTGTTTAAATTAGAAAAAGAAAATTCTTAAACAGAGAAAAGTAGAAAAATGTTGTTAAGTTGTTCCTTCATCTTGTGCATCTCCATGGTGATAAAATATCCCATAAACGCCCTTTTAGTGCTACTTCAAAATAAAAGCATGACGCATTTTCCCACATGAACTTTTATCTTATGTGGAGAAAAACCCTTCTCTCTGCTTTCACACTGACGTTTTCCTTCGCCGTGGTGACGTCCCACTTATCACAGTTGACCATGTGCTGTGACCTCTGACCTTTGACCTCCTTACTGCTGCATGCGTTGAAGGTCGCTCTGCTCGTTCTGATCCTCTCTGGACACAAACAGTCCCTTGCATGGAAAACAGAAACTTTAGGAGTTCACGAGTCCAATTAATTATGAAAGATTTGTGACAAACAAAGTGCTTTATGATAAAAATTCAGACCTTGAAAGCATGTGCGAAGAGGATGGTGATGAGTTAGTTGCCTGTTTAATCCATTTTTACACTCCTGTTGACACCCTGACAATGGGCCGAGCGGCAGAAGAAGAAATGAACCGGTGATTAAATATGTATCTGACACATTGAAATAGCAGCTTACTGCTCACCAAACTAACTTGTAGAAGACAGAGAAAGATAAAGGGTTGGATAATCGTGGCTTTAGACCAAATGCATGAGCGCAGAATGAAGCAGCACATGATCCTACAGAGCAGCTGACTATGAAACAGTCTCATTATATTTATTTTTATAAGCTGGTATCCTCGTCCTGGATGCTCGAGAGTTTTTACCAAAGTCTCATTAGGATCAGAGTCGAGTAAAGCTGAAGACCAGCTGAAACTACAAAGACAAAGTGACATAAACACTGTTTCCACCAACCTGCACAGATATTTCAGTCTCTAACGGTCAAGAAGCTGCAGAAACCTGAACCTCTGCTCAGGAACCACCGGAGCTCTGCAGGTGGACGACAAGTAAATCAAGCAAGAACGCCAACCGTCACGGGTTCGTAGAACAAAACAAACATGGACGCCAACCAACAACTTGTTTACACTCAGCAACGTTTGTGCTGGAAAGTCCAAAAAAAAGGAGGAAACAGGTGAGATCCTGGATGGCGGGACTACAGAGCCCACAGAGGACGACCAAACGGCCGGCAGCGACTGAAGACTCCAGAT